GAACTAGATACATTCATGAAGGATAGGTCCATCGGTAGCTATTAGCCAGGATGGGTAGAAATGTTTTCCCCAGCCTCTGTTTGTCAGGGGCTGGAAATAGATGAGAGATATCATTTGATGGTTCCCTGTTGTGTTCATTCCCTCTGGGGCATCTGGCATTGGCCGCTGTCGGAAGATAGGATACTGACCCAGTGTGGCCGTTCTAATGTTCTTATATTGTTTTATAAATAAAATAGCTCTTTTAAACAACTACTTTTAGGCGAGTTGATTTTGCTGCAAACCAAAGTGGGGTTGGTAGTGGGTTTCACAGGCCTAATCTCATAATCCACTCACATTATCATTTTCTTTGCAACTGCATGTCTTCATATAAAGTAATGGCATTAGAAGGCACATCCAACTATCTTTAATGTGTGAAAATAACTTCTGAAATGCTGGCAAAGAATCCTCTTTGCATCTTGGCATGGAAACCTTTCCTGCTTCCTACTTCTCCCCCCTTCTATTGGAACTTGGCTGGATCTCATTCTTCAACCTGCGTAAGTACTGTGTTAGCCAATTCCCCGTCACTAAGAGCTTTCTAACAAAGTTAAGAGTGCTGTAGTTTGATGAGCTCAGATCCCACTAAGAAAAAAAAAAAGAATATGCTTTCGCATCCGGCTTCAGTGTTTTAGATGGTGAGTATTTAGATGGAATGAATAGTCCCACGGAATTAAAGGTGTTAAACATAACTGTGTTACTGTCCAAGGTTGAGTAGTTTTGAGAGAGGTTCAGAGTCCATAACCTGCTTAGGACAATGGCAGACATGTTATAAAGTTCATACCAAAGGTTAAAAACTGCTTGAAAGGCACAAAAGGAAAACTGAAAAGGACTGATTATGTAACGCTAACTTAATGAAAACCGTTAAAGTCCGTTTTTGATGACAGTGACTATTGGTTAAAGTGTTTTTTGTTTTTTTTGTTAAAAAGCCCTTCTTGGGGAGGAAGAAAAAATTAGATTTGTTAAGTTCATAGTTGAGAATGATTGTCATTCTTCCTCCGCTGTGTCTGGTGGAGGTGGGGAGAGCACGGGGATTTTAAAGGCACCCTGACTCTCTTTTTTTGTGCGTTTTTTTTTGCTCAACAACTTTCGTCCTTCATGGTTTCCCTCCTTCCCCCAACCAATTTTTTTCGTGCCATGTTTGGTATTTTTTGTGAAACTATGTGGCAACCCTGTCTGCTTCAGAACAATCAGATGCAGAAGGGCGTGAGGACATGGGACAGTAAAGATGGAAATACCACCTTGGTGGTTGTTATCAAGATACCGGGTGCCTGGCCAGTTAGGGACAGATGCTTTGGTCTGACAGGCTGAGGGACAGCTGCTTCTGGACACTGGCTAATCTCCCCAGTCCAGGATGTTGTTTGGCTGATTCTGTGTCCTTCACTGGCCCTTCTGGAGTTGACCAGAGCTGGATGGGCTGTCTCCTTTCACGGAGCTGTTGCTTGGGACTGCATCTGATTTCAGGATCATGCAAAAAGCAGTGAGAGGGCAGGAAGAGGAAGACAGAGCAGAACCTCACATGTATAATATTGGGGTACGCACTGGTGCAGAGACCATTGTTATGTGTTCCACCTGCAGCATCAAGGTCTGGTAGCAGGGCAGTAATCCTTCTGCCCCAGTTGCGGTGCTGGCAAAAAGTTGTGGGTTTTTTCCCCCTTTGCCAACATATTTTTGTTCAGGTCCCCAGAAAGGTGATGGTGAAATCTGTCATCGTCTTATTTTGTCCATCCATTTGGCCTAATTTTTGACACCAGTTCTGGTTCATTGACTTCTGACCTTCTACTCCTCCTTCTCTTCAGGTCTGATCTGAACACAGTCCTGGAGTGGAATTCATAGGCCCTTTCTGTTTAAATGAATTCAGCCGTTCTGCTTTCTTCACATATCTTTTCTTCAATAGCTTTATACAATAGATCATTGCGACAATTCATGAATCTCTTTACCACTTAGACTAACAATAACAGCAATAATATAACAGCAGGCTTCTGATTGTTGTTACTGTGTCTCCACTATTACAACAGTACTCAAAATGGGTGCTCTTCTGAAATCCAGAATTAGTAGCATTTCATTTTCAGTTCCATATTTTTTTTATTGAAAACAAAAATAAGTATTATTGTAAGGTTTTTTTGTAGCTTGTTGCATTACTTTTATTAACTAGCCAGTTCAACAAGGCAAGGTTGTTTGTATTCCCCTCCCCGCAAGAGGTATGCATACTCATTGCAAATTGCTTTAGGTGACCATGGTTTTCATAAATTCTACTAATACGTTTGTGGGACAGACGCTTTGTGGGTGCTCTGTGTTCTTTCTTTTGGGGTGAAATTTATCAAAGGCCAATACGAGGCCCGTGTCTCCCATAAATGTTAGGTAAACTGATAGAGGCTTACTCCTTTCCTCTCTTCCTATGTGATTTTCCTCTTTCTACAGCCTAGTGCTACAGCTACACTGTAGCCTTCTTCCGGAAAAGCTTATGCAAATGAAGCACGGTGTGGAATATCACCGCACTTCATTTGCATAATTAATCAGCAGCCACTTTTGAACAGCTGTTTGTCGGCTCAGCACGGCAGCCATGTAAATTTAAATGAAGCGGGGATTATTTAAATCGCCGCTTCATTTTCCTATGTCTGGTAGCCTAATCTACATGCCTCTGGCGACAGAGGCATGTAGTCTAGACGTACCCTAAGTTCCACAGGTCCCAGGTTCGGTTCCGCCTTTCAGCATTACACTTGTTCATTTAAAACTCAATGTAAAGGTCATACGAGGGGCCTTAGTTTTGTTTTCCTTGAAGACAAAATAAACCAGGACATCAATGTATGTTCCTTTTGGTTTGCTAACCTTCAAAGATCTCGTCTTTGATGCAATTATTAGCCTAGTTTATTAGACCCAAATATGGCATTGGACACCAAGCGATTTAATTAAAACGCTGTGCCGTGCAAAATTTTGTGTGTGTCATTGGCTCCTTAATTCTCACCAACCATGAATGGAGATGGCTAATGGTATGTGTAACTTTAGCACTGCTGTGCTGACGCTGTTATTCATCTACTTATTTATTTTTAATTCTGCCTTCAGATCGGCGCTCGCGGTCCCCATTGAAGTTCCTAATCCTTCCGTTCTCGCCCGGCATCAATCAGTGAAGCTCCTTTCTCTTCACTGGAGCGATGTCAATTTATACCAGCTGAGCTCTGGCCCTGGTTCCTTAGAATGTTCAACTCTCTAATTTGACTATCACTTACTAGCTAATGACAGATGCAATTAAAATTCGGCATTAGGAAGTGCGTCGTAGCTATTTTCGTCTGGCTTATTCCCGCATTCCTGTAATTCAGTTGTGCATGAGTAAGCAGTTCAAAATTAGACCCTTCCCGTTGCGCCGGGTAGAAACAAGGAGCTATAACATGTTTAAAAGAAAATACTAAATTATTAATTAGCTTTCTAAATACTCTGTGGCTCAGAGAAAAATAAAGCACCCCAGCGGTCTATGTGGTGGTTAGAGAAGAAACAGGTGACCCAGGTGTAAATGGGGTAAAGGGAACTGCTTTATTGCCTACGCACATTAACCTCGGACCCCCATTACAACGTTCTGAGTGGCCACAATTTGGCACCAATTACACCCTTTTATCTATTTTAGTATGTTAATTCACATGCCTATCACTACTTTCCGTAAAACCTTATTTAGTAACGTTAACTCCCATGCAATGAATATTAATAAGCAGGTGATTAATACAATTCTAACCACCCCTGTTTGTTGTTTACTGGGTTTTGGTTAAATCAGCATTACATACTGTCTTAAACAGCAGCTTATAGGGAGGGGGACAGAATTCTGACCCTGAAAGTGTTTTTACAGAACAAGTGCGAAGACAAAACAAGACGCTGTTCAGTGCAACCATCTTTCAAGGCTGTCAGGACAAAGGGGAAAAACATGTTTAAAGGGCAGTGCCGGCTGTGGCTGATCCCTTACTCCTGTCCCAGACCCCTATTAACTTTTACCTATCCCAGCAGGTAACACTGTTGGCTGCTACGCGCGAGCGAAAATCACCACTATGAATGGGAAAACATTCAAGTGCTACTTGAACCTTGTTTTGAGCATTTTCGAAACATGGTTTGTTTCCATGGAGGAAAGTGATGGGGTTAAGCAGTTCTTTCATACTGACCAGTTATCTCATAGTTGTTCTGTATTCCCTTGCCTGTAGGCATCTGTTGTTTCTTGTCTTCTGCTTAGAATGTCAGCTCTTTAGTGTAGGGGCCTTGTGTACACCCTGCCAGCACTGTGTAGTTTTGATCAATGGATGGGGCTCTTAAGTACAGGTTGAACCTTTCTCGTCTGGCACTCTCCGATCCAGCAACATCCATGATCCAGCATGATTTTAGTGAGCTGGATGTCCACTTATCATGGGTGTGGCCAAATTTCCCGCGATCCCATAAAGTTTGTGTACGGCCACCAGTCCTGGCTCTGTGTTCTGTGCTGCGATTAGCTCTAATTTACCCCTAAATATCTTCTCAGAGACCAGTCAGCAGTGGCAGTGTTGGTAATGCTACTAGACAATGTTGACCTCTGGAGTTAGGGATGGTAAGTAGCGGTTAATCAGCTAATTGAGTAGTTGATGGAATTTCCATTGCTTACTCAATTAGTTGATAAGGGGGCACTCGCTACACTTGCTGCGGCTATGCAGTTTACATGTAGCAGGAGCTGGGTGCTCAGGCAGCTCGGCTCCTACTACATCTAAACCGTAGAGCCACAATGGGCCGGCACGATCTGGGACTTAGTCCCAGCGTGTGCCAATGCTGGGTCTGCTACAGCTCCACATCATGAAGCTTTTAAGTCCGATCCCTTCAGCACCATCTCCTGCTCCCCCTCATCCCCTTGCTGCCTCTGACACAGAGGCAGCAAGGGCGGGGGAGCAAGTAGTTGCATAGTGACTCGACTACATGATAAGTCTAAGCTTATCGGGTAGCTGACTACTTGAGTAGTGACTTACATCTCTATCCTGAGATTGAGCAAATTCTCTGGGTCAGCACCGGTCAAGTCCCAAGGGCGTTGGACTAAAGAGGTTTAGCCTGTACTGTGGAAATACAAATAACAATAATAAAAGCATTGTTTGGCTGATCCTTCTGCAGTGGGGAAAGGGGATGAATTTCAACAGAGTTATCCCAGCGGGAACCACACATAAAGGAGACCACAGCTGAAAGCGAACTTTATCGATGCTGTTCTTCCCTGTCGCTCACCTGAAATATTGCCACAGAGGGCTCTTTTGGTATAATTACGCTAGCACATAAAATACAGGAAACATGGTGGTAAAAAATAACTTCCCCAAATTTTATTTCCCCACCAGGCAGGCGCCTGGGAAAGGCTCGACACTGTGATGGTAATCATTACACACGTTTAATAAAAGCGATTGTTTGTTTGCGAAATGTCAGCTGAATATTAAAATCATATTATTAAAGATGAATCAGCATGTAATCTGTAGGCAGCTGCTAAATATGTTTTTAATCAGTTTTATATAAACACACAGTACATCACTTGGTTCTATTAAATATAAATTAATTGAATAATTCAACTTTAGCATAATTAAAATTGCAGCTTTGGCAACCTCCCTTTTAAAGGATTGTTGCAGACACTGCAAAGCAGTTGAGCCAGCGGTGTGAGATGTTGGCTGCTGACTTGTGTCCCTCTGTTGATCTCCCGTTCCTCCCCGTGCTAGGTCAGAGTGGCGGGAGTGGAACGGGGCATGCTGAGTTCAGGAAGCTACCGCCTCCGTTGATAGTATTCCATGGTTCAGTTGGGATCATCTGTTAGGGTATGTCTACACTACCCCGCTAGTTCGAACTAGCGGGGTAGTGTAGACATACCGCAATTGCAAATGAAGCCCGGGATTTGAATTTCCCGGGCTTCATTTGCATAAGCGGGGAGCCGCCATTTTTAAATCCCCGCTCGTTCTCCACCATTTTTAAATCCCACTCGTTCGAACCCCGTGCTGCGTGCCTACACGCGGCACAAACTAGGTAGTTCGGACTAGGCTTCCTAGTTCGAACTACCGTTACTCCTCATTCCACGAGGCTACACGCGGCACGGGGTTCGAACGAGCGGGGATTTAAAAATGGCGGCGCCCCGCTTATGCAAATGAAGCCCGGGAAATTCAAATCCCGGGCTTCATTTGCAATTGCGGTATGCCTACATTACCCCGCTAGTTCGAACTAGTGGGGTAGTGTAGACATACCCTTACTGTGTATTGAAGTAGTGTGGTTGCCCTCATTCCTGATAGCAGTAGGGGCTGTACGCTCATATAACCAAAAGGCAGGGAAGATTTTTGGCCACTTTCCATCAGTCTTGCTGCATGGCTTAGAACATGTGTCACATTTTTTAACCCTGAAGGGAGACGAGTGAGTGATCTCTGCCGGCATCCTCCAATACAGGGGTGGGGAGCCTTTTTTGGGTGGGAGGGGGGGCGCTGACCCACAGAAAAATCAGTCGTGGGCTGCACACAAACGAGAAGAAATAAAACCCTCAATGTGGCCCCTGACTGAGAAGAAGATACTCCCTACATTCCCCTAGCACACCCGGGCCTGGGGGACCAAGGCTAGTAGTTTTTCTATGCTCCAGCCCCACGGGGAGACGGGGGCTGGAGCACCAGTGGGGGGCTCCCCAGTACAGGAGGGAGGAGCCCTGAGCCTCGGGAGCTGGATACAGGCAGCAGCCTCTGGGCCTTAGGTTCCCCACTCCTGCTTCAATTGATCCAGCTCTTTCCTCTTCTCATCTGTATGACTGAGACCGAGCATAAGCTCAGGACTGGCAGCTGGGAAATCTGACTGGTTTCTCTGACCGTGCCGCATGGAACCACTGGCCAAACTCTGTGGCGGTTTACCCATCCGTAACATGGTGACTGATACCGGGGGGTTATAATACTTACCTTAGCCAAGTAACATAGAGCAGTTAATACCGCTCTGCCTCCCAGGTGTGTTGTCTAGATGAATTAGTTACTGTTTCCAAATACTTTGCAGATGGAAAAACTCTGAGCGCTGGTGTCACATTGGTGGGTACGTCCCACCGAGTCCAAAGGAACATTCCGGAAGCTTCCTTGAAGCATCGAGGGAGGGGGCCCTCTAGCCCCGGAATTATGGCCCCAACCTTCTCTGCCCCTTCCATGGAGGTACCACCTCTGCTCATTCTTTTGTGCCCCCTCCTCCCTCTCTGTCTGCCTTAAGACAGATAAAATATGGCTAAAAGCCTCCCCCCCCTTGTTGTGGTCATGGCCCCCTCTCCCCCCCCTTGTTGTGGCATCTGTGACAAAGGTGCTTTTAATTTTTCCTCTCTTCAAATCTTATCCTTTTCTGTTTCACAAAAGTTTATTCATCCCATGTCCTGTTTACCCAGTCCCTTGAGTCAATCGCCTTGTGGCCCACCTACTGGAAAATCGCTGCATTCTTCTCAGATGGACATCCTCTTCTCTCAAGCAACTGGAAAAGCACTTAAAATGCAAGCCAGTTCCTCAGGGAGCGACTCAGGCTGTAACTCCATGGGAGGGATTCGTGGAGCATTAGAGAAACAGTAGTTTAAATAATGGAGAGGGGCCATACATCACTGCCATGTATTAGTCCTGACCTTTGTCTCAGAGACCTTTTTGTGTTGACAGAATTAAAATATTAATTTGGTTTTTGCTGAATCTCCTTCAGCTTCGCTTTACAGTTCTGCCTGAGGTTTTTATGGATTTTGTCACTTTAAAAAATGTATTCCTACGAGCAGAGTTTCAATTATCTGATTTCCTTTTCCATTTAAGATTCCAGACTGAGTTTCATCTAACGACAATATCTGTACAGTATTTGATCTATAGCCAATGATCAGTCGTCTGAAGATATCTGTAGCATCCCTCAAATACATTAGAGAAGGCTATGAATTGCTGCCCCTTCCCCCTTCATTTTGATGTTTTCCGTTTGAATGCAGCAAATCAGGCAAGCAGATAATATCTGGACACCCAACTGAAGTTGAGCCAGCAAGTGATCACAAAAAAGAGACAGGGGAGAGTTGTGTGGGATTGTGGGAAGAAGGAAAGGAGCAGGATTCCGAATGTATGCCCCTGAACAGGGAGCCCATTTCCAATTTCTGAATTTTTTTATCCATGTAGAGTTAAAAATCCCACGATGCTTAGCCAGTAATTTAAAGAGAAACTCAGGGGTACATGGCAAGTTACAGTGCTTCAAATACAGGTTGAACCTCTCTAGTCCAGAACTCTCTGGTCTGGCAACATCCATGATCCAGCATGATTTTAGTTAGGCAGATGTTCACTTTTCATGGGTGTGGCCAAGTTTCCTGTGGTCCCAAGATGTTTGTTTACAACCACCAGTCCTGGCTCTCAGCGTTCTGTGCTGTTGCTTAGTTCCAATTTACCTCTAAATGTCCTCTAAGAACCCTGCAAGCAGTGGAAATGCTGGTAAAATGCTAGACAATACCAACTTCCCATGGTCCGGCAAATTCTCTGGTTCAGAATCAGTCAGGTCCCCAGGGTGCCAGACTAGAGAGGTTCAACCTTTAGAGTATGAATCTACAGTATACCAGCTAGTCATTCGGTAATGTCCCACGTGGATAATGATCTAGGACAGCGGTCCCCAACCTTTTGGGGCTGCCGGGTGGCCAGGGGCGGGGCCGCACGTGCGCCATGTGCCCGGGGCGGAAGCTGCACATGCACTGCGCGCCCGGGGTGCAAGAATGGTTTGGACCGGCCCTGATCACTCGGTGGGCACACACAAATGCCCTGGCAAGCACCATGGCGCCCACGGACACCACGTTGGGGACCACTGATCTAGGACACTGAAAGCCCTGAAGTGTTGCTTCATTTATGATTGGTGCAAGGGATTAGTGGTGTCAGGAAGGGGGGTAGGCAGTGTAGCCTTTCCAACTGTGCATGGTTTGAGGATCCACGGGGAACCCTGGCCAAAATTTCATGCATCTCAGGCTGTCTCCTTGGAATGCCTGCCGCTCTTTGTGCTGTGCTTTCTCTCCCAAAACCCAACATTGGCATCATGAATTTCAGTGACTGCATCTGTTGACTCCTTAACCACTGCTCTGCATTACTCAAGCCAAGAGCATCTGTTCCCTAGATGCAGTCAGTAACAATCTCACAGTATTCCTTCTTTTCCAGCCTGCATGTGGATCTTGATTAGCTTACAGTTGTGTGTGTGTGCGCGCGCGCATGTATGTGCACGCATGCACATGGCGTGGAAGCGTTGTGTGTCTGCATGAAGAACTTACTGAGAAGCTATGGTAAGAAGATGAGCTTTGCATTTAGTTCCAAAACCAACTGCAGTTGTCAGGATTTACTGGTATGGTGTCCTGACAGGTCTCCTGCTCCGTCAGTGATGATAACTGCTCGACTGTGTGTGCACGTATGTGTGCATGTGCTCAGTCCTGTGAGTTGTGTTTGCTTGTACAAATAGCCACCACAGCAGATTCAGAGAGCCCCCAATGACTACAAAATCAGATAAGGATCAAAGGCACCCAGCCAGGTTTATTGTTAAACGAAGTACAGTGAGAGTTGTCAGTACACTCTATGAACAACTATGCATGTGTACCCCCTGACAATGTACACGACGGAGTCGGTGACATGGGAATCCATCATGGCCCCCTAGGCCGGACAAAGACAGCTCCTCCAAGCCACCACTTTATATACAGGTACAGACAGGTTACACATCACGCCTGACATGTCAGGTTGCCACCTTCTGACGTTACTTAGATACCACCCATCACCCTGCATTGCCTGGTTTGATTAGAACATCTCGATCCATCATGCTGTTATTTTAGACCCTTTCCTGAACCTGGGTTGGTATCTGTGGGGAGTGTGGGTACCAAGGTCCTTTTTAACGAGTTGGTGTTGTTACCATCCGCTTGGAATGTGCTTTCAACTTTTGCCCAGTACCAATGACTGTTTTACAGCCAGTACTGAGTACCAATTACTGTTCTACACCTGGGCCTATTACCAAATAGAGTTTCAGAGGGGTAGCCATGTTCGTCTGAATCTGCAACTGCTAGAAGTGGGCCTCATCCTCCCTGACTGAATTGACCTCGTTATCACTAGCCTTACTCTTGATTGGTACTCTTTTCTTATGCCTGTATATTTATACCTGCCTCTGGAATTTCCACTACCTCCATCTGATGAAGTGTGTCTTTGCCCACAAAAGCTTATGCTCCAATAAATCTGTTAGTCTATAAGGTGCCACAGGACCCCAAATAGAGTTTGACATACTCAGCCCTATTCATGCCAAGTTCTGTGAGCAGCTTAGCTTTGCTTTATATGAGCAAGGTCTTGACCATTATTAGCTAGGCCTCAGGCCTACAACCAGGCCTGTGCTACATGCACTTTTGTTTCAGGACCTCATCTTACTATGCCAATAAGTGGCCACTCTCTTGTTTTTCCCAGAAATGTGTTCCATAGCATAAGCCTTGCTCCCATGACAATTCTGTCCCCCCCTCCCCCCTCCTCCTCCTGTGGATGAAACTCCCCAGGATCTTGGACTGGACTCTGCATTCACTGAAGAGCCAGTGCAGAACATGAAATGCTTGGGTTATATCGTTGTGGTAACTGGTGCTGCTTTGCAAATGGCTGCTGTATTTGGCCCTGTATCAGTTTTCCAAGATGTCTGGTTTCCTTCTGAAACAAAATACAGGACAATGTAGCACTTTAAAGACTAACAAGATGGTTTATTAGATGATGAGCTTTCGTGGGCCAGACCTACTTCCTCAGATCAAATTTGATCTGAGGAAGTGGGTCACCATCTTGTTAGTCTTTAAAGTGCTACATAGTCCTGTATTTTGTTTCAGCTACACCAGACTAACACGGCTACATTTCTATCACTATTCTGGTTTCCTTCTGTGAGGAGTGTTGCTCGGAGGTGACAGATGTGTGGGGGACCATTGCTAGGTCTGTCTTCAGGAGCGCGAATATGATCTTCTAGCCGGTGGCAGGTGGGACATGTGTTTGTCCTGGCATTTAGGACACCCGGTATGGAGTAATCCTCTAGGCTGAGGGATGAGCATGAGTGTCTCTGATTGAGATGATGAGCTTATAGTGTTGCAGAGGCGGCAGGTTCTTCGAAGTACCTGACTCAACCATCACTCAGCTAGTGCAATAGATCCATGTTTGCCTCCACGTGCCCCACTGGATGGGGCTTCTTCAGTACCAGCTCTGGTGCCAAACTCCTGCATGTGTCTTCTGTTAAGGTAACTTTTTTTCCCCCAGTGCAAGTACTAGCCAGTCTGCTACATTTTAGAGATGGGGCTTCCGTTCCATCAATATTAGAATCTTTAAAAAGAAGCTCTGTCTAGTAGCAAAAGACAAATCTATCTGATGCAGACTCAAGCAGTTTGATAATGCAGACTGGTAAGCAAATCCTCTCCTGGGAATGACAGCAACCAAAGCCCCCAGCTGTATCAGTTAGGGCATGTCTACGCTAAAGGGGAAGGTTAACTTAAGCTACGCAGCTCCAGCTACGTTAATTATGTTAATTATCCACACAGCCAGAGGTCGATGGGAGCAAACGCTCCCTTTGGCTTCCCTTACTCCTTATGAGGAGAAGTACTGGCGCCGACAAGGGCACCGATCTGAGTTTGATTTAGTGTGTCTTTACTAGACCCGCTAAATCAAACCCTGGAAGATTGACCGCAGCAGCGTTGATCTTCTGCGTAGTGTAGACATGGTCTTAGTGTCTGCTGCTGGGGTGAAACTCTGCAGGAGCATGAACTCCAAGAAAGAGAAGTTGGAAATCTCTCCTTTGCCTTTCTCACAACTGTTGTCAGTGCCATTTCTCTGCAGCAGTGTCATTATTTCTGTGTTAGTATTATGGCACTCGCTGCACGTTGGTGGGTTGTTCTTTCATTTGTTTTTTTTTTAACCACCGCAAGATTGAGACTGATCCTCATGTTTGACAAATACAACATCACCTTAAAGTAAATACTCCTTGAGAATGCTATAAAAGTGATTTCAGAGTGACAGTAAAAGAATTGCTTTTTTAGTTCGAGGCTTGTTCATGCTCTTTTAATAGACCATAAGGCTTTTATTTCACAATAGATGGAAAATGAAAATATTACCGCTCATGTGTGAAATAACAGTTGTTAGTGATCTTCTCCTACCTGCTGCGTGTGATGTCAGAGACAGGCGCAGCCTGTGAAAATGGGGACAAA